TACATCAGGGTAGGTCTCGTAGTAAACACTTTGCACGGGGACGGTGCATCCCCTGCGGTCCCCTTGGCTGAGCTGCTGAGAACCTGCTCTGACTTTCTCATGCGGTTTATGTTGCGATCGGGAAGCGAAGCTCCCTTGTCCCCACTGCTGGCTCGGCAACAGCTCTCCCACTCGCTGGGTTTATTTCCATTTTTGACAGCCCAGGCTGTGCCTGAGGCACAAGGGGACACCCGCCCGCTCCAGGTTGATATATGCGTGAGGGATGTAATAATATGTTATGATATATTACATACAATATGGTGTTACAGAGACGGAATAATATATTTTATATTTTACATATAATACAGTGTTACAGATACTATATCTTACATTGGTGTTTCTCCTGACACTATACGGTAGTTTGCTAAAGCAGAATGCTTAGGGTCTTGCTCAACGAAGTGGGGCCCAAACTGGAAAGAGAACTTCTTTTTTTCCTTCTGATCAAGATATTTAGAGGCAAGAGATGGAACATGTGTTTGTTTTCCAAATACACCTCATTAAATAGAGGGGGAGAGATTTTGTAGTGAGATGTTTCAGACATATAAATCTCCAGCACTTCTAAATAGTACTCCATTTACTGGATTTTTTCTTTAAACTCATGCAAAATGGGCAATGAAAAATACAGAGGAACAGGCGGGTTTGTAAAATCGGACTGTTAAACACTATAAACATGGTCTCATAGAAAAACAGATGCAAAAGATCAGATACAAAGGAAGAAAACCCCTTTCATCAAATACGTGATAAAACTTATGTCCAGTCTGAAGAGGCGTCAGCGTTTGCTTTCCACATCCGTAGCTGGATTTGGAAATGGACCGTGGCTCCGCTCGCCCTGGTGCTGCGTCTGGGCTTCATTAAGTTTCCAGCTCCGGCTGATGAAGTACAGATGCGAGCGGCTTTCCAGGGAGGAGAAAAGGAGGAGGAGGAGGAGGGGAAGAACAGGAAATTCCCGGAGCGTGAGCTGGGGGCAGGGTAAATCACTACTTGGCCTTTTATACGCGACAGCGGGGCCAGGCCTGGAGGGAAGAGTTGGTGCCTTTTAGGGATGCAAGGACAGACTCGTCTTCCTGGCTGCACTAACGAGGGTTGAGGGATAAACCGTGGGTTTGCCTGGGATGTAAGTGAGCCTGTTCCGCACCTCCCGTTTCGTGTTGCTTAACCAGACCTGCATGAATTTGCCCACATTCCCGAGGGGCAACAAAACCGAGGGGCAGGACCCTCGCCGTGCTGCTGGCGGTGTCTGCCCACCAGGAAGCTTGTGCCATCCCAAGGCCGAGGCTGGTCTTGAGACACGGAGAAACACGGAAGGTGTTGCTGATGCTTCCCAGATCGTTCTCATCTCTAAACCCATCCCTTGCCCGCAGGCCTGCCCGCTCCGGCCAGCAAACCTGCCAGCTGCCTCAAGCTGAACGGTTTGCAAGGGAGATCTCTAAAAACCAGCTTGGCACTACAGAAAGTGCCTGTTCCCTCTGGTGAGCCGTGGTGTGGAGAGGCTGGAGGTGTCTTTTCAGGGTGAAGGTAAAACTGAGGGTCTGGCTAAAGGTCCCTGGGTCTTCCCGCAGGAGCGGTGGGTGCATCGGTCCCGGTGCCCGGGCCCAGGTCCGGGAGCACGGATCTGCTGCGTTATCCCCCCGTGGCTTCCGTGGGACACGGTCCGCGCGCTTGCCCAGCTTTGGCTGCGGTGCGCTGTGGCGTGTAACGGTTCTGCCTCTGGGTCGTGCCGCTGGGCAGCAAGGCCTTCTGTGTCTGGTGAGGCCGTTTGTTTTTGTGAAGTACGCGGGGTCGTTTGCACTTCACAGGGTGGTGTTACTGTGGTACCTCTCTAGATTTAAAATAAGATATAATAAACAATATATTAAAATAATAAATACAAATGTAAATGTTATTAATAAGTACATAATACATGCCTGCGAAGATGGTCTTTGCAAGCAAATAGTATGTTGCTGTGTCAAAAATACTTGCGTACCTTAGCAGCAGTATATGGAGCGTGCTGCTAAAATGTCTCTCAAAGCAGAAACAGTTTTCTATTATTCTGCTGCAGGAAGAAAATTTAAATAGTACATGTATGTACCGTATCAGAGCAGTGTCCTTCTTGTGAGGGACACGTCTACTGGAGAGAACCAGCCCCTGCAGCAGCTCCACATGGGCGAGGGGAGAAGGTTTGGCTGTGGGTTCTCCCCCACGCAGCTGCGGTCCTTAGCCCCAGTGCGCAGAGCAGGGCCAGGCTCCTGAGACGAAACGTTCCCTCCGGTACCCTTCGCGGGTACTTGCGCTGCTGAGCTGCTCTTAGCCTGTCTCTGGCTTTGGTCTCTGCGCCGTGCGAGGCCGTGCGAGCACTGCTCTGCCGTGAGCGCTTCCCGGTTCGGTGTCTTTGGTCCGGTTTGACCACAGCGTGCTCACCATCGGCCCGGCTGGCACTGTCCGGACGGCAGTGCTCGCCAGGAGACAGCTAAAGACAGAGCACATCCGCTGGAGATGTTTCTGCCTCTGTATTCGTCGGCCCAGGGGTTACGCCGTGGCGGGAGCCTCTCGGGTTAGTTTTGCAAAGGGTTTGGAGCGGAGGAGGAAGAGGAGGGATGGCAGAGCTCCAGCTCCTCGGGCAGAGGTGCATCTGGGTGGTTGGCTGCGGACGGCTGGCACGGGTGCCGAGGTGGCCCACGGGCAGCCTGTGCGTGGGGCAGGAGCTCCCAAAGAGGAATCCCCGGGGCAGCAGCTCCCACCGGGTGTTGGAGTTGGCAGGAGTCATTGCCCTTCAGGAAAGCATAATGCAGCCGATAAATGATGAGCAGCACCTTCTAAGTTCTGCTGTGTGTCTCTGCACACTCTTATCTTTTAACTTAGTGCTTTAAAATACACTATTTTGTCTATTTCCTTTCAAAGTTTCCACTCCCCGTAGTCTAAATGAGATTTCTCATGCACTTGTCTGTTCAAGCCAATGAACTCTCATCTTCTTGCATTTAGGGAATCACGAGCTGTCAAAGCTCTGCAAAATAAAGATTTTGATTGCCTTTCAGAAAGTTGCTGTTAGTCAGTTTGACAAAGCACAGCACCGGCGTGCGTTCCTTCACCCAGAGCGAAACAGCTATTGGCAACTTCTTCTGGCATGCTACAGATTTTGGAAAATACATTTCTTTTCCTTGTGCATAGCGAAGCGCAGCCATGCCCATGCGCACAAGATTTGACTTCTTTTATACTAATGTCCTTGTCGATCAATGCCAGGTGACCGTATCCAACACGACCTAAATGTTCTTTAAAGATGTTTTTCCTGCATTTTTCTAGTTCCAGATACAGGCAGTGGCTGGAATAAAAGAGAAACCAATTCCAACTTTTGAAAAATTAGGAAGGTCACATCTTCTGCTGATGTAAGCCAGCACTTCTATATTGAGTGGCGATGCACAGACTGACTTACATGCAGGAGGATCTAGCACTGAAGTTTCTGTAAGGCCTTTCTGATTCAGAAATTACTGCGCTCTGTTTCAGTGTTCATTTTGGCTCCCCAGTCTGGGGGACTTGGACATCTTGGGGCAGGGCACGAGAGGATGCTGTGTTTGAACCACATTCAGCATGGACATGGAGATGTAAGAAATTCAATAAAATATTCAGACATGCATTTTTGCTTTTCTAAACAACCAAAACTTCTGAACTACCTGAAATTTGCCCCTGATTTATCACTTCTGATCCCATTTTATTTTCTCTATCTTGTTTGGCCTTAATGAAGTTTATGTGACATATTTATGTTGATTGCTACCTGAAAAATTTATACCAGTTGTAGTTGCAAATAAAAGATGCTGTAATGCTGAAGTAAATTAGGGAAAACATTTTTTCTCTGCCTTTCTTTATTGTATGTGTTTGACAGCACGTCGTGTCTCATCTGCTTTGCTGCTTCTCGGTTAGTCATTTTCCTTGTTTGTGCAGGGCTTTCCCACAGCAACTGAGAAGAGAAAAACATTTTAATCATAGGAAAACTGGAAGGGGATTTGCTTGCACATGCAGGACCTGAAGTGTCATTCAACTCTTTTTCCCTGCCCCCCCTCTCTTTTTGCTTGCTTTTGTCATTTGTGTTGTATGAGAACCGTATGGACCATACCTCACTGAGGTTCACACCCTGACAAAAACCCCATATTTTGAATGTTTATGGTTTCTATTAGTCAAACATATTGCGTTTGATTCTGAAGAGCCTCAAATGTAAACAGAATCTATGAAAATCATTGCTTGTCACCCCACGTAATGGCCAACTGTGTCACGGTCCTTCTGTTGAGCAATGCTGCCTGCTGAGACCCGACATTCTTGCATGGGAGCACGGTGCTCAGCCGGTCCCTGCTTCTGCCTTGGCAGATTTTGCAGTGTTAAGCGTAAGCTCTTAGCTCTGAGGAGTTCTCATTCTGAGCATTGCAAAACTTTTCTTTGTGCCATTTTTAAATTAGAACATGATCGTTTGGTCAGTTGTTTCCTACATCATTCCCTGTTGAGTGCAACTATTAGGCTCCTAATAGCTGTTCCATATTTGAACATGTAGTAGGAGAGTAGCAGAATGATTCCAGTGTAAGGTCTGTGTAGACTTTGCTCATAGGTTTTCTTTTGAATTCTGACCATCGACGTGGGGGTATTGTGAATGTCTGTATGTTGCAGCACGAACCAATGATGGGTGCATGATAAATGTTTCTATATGTGGAAACATAACTGCTTTTGTTTAGACATTGGTGTAAAACAAACCCCACAATATTTCCTTAAGGCTGGGGGCATTCAGCTCCAGAACTAACCTTTACATCTGAGGCCTATTTCTGTTCCTCTTCAGTCTTCACACAGCACCTGGAGTCTCTTTGTTGCATCCAGCAAGTGTCCAATATGCTAATTGTTTTCTCTTTCACACTCTCGTCTTTCCTCGCATCATACCCGCTTAGTAGCCAAGCCTTAAGGGTGACACCACAACGGGTCTCCTTTTCTTTCCCATTTCTCACAGTGAGGCTGTCTGGGAGAACATGGCTCGCATGTGTGTGAAGACTCAGAGGCTCGATGTTGCCAAAATTTGCCTTGGAAACATGGGTCATGCAAGAGGAGCCAAGGCATTGAGGGAGGCTGAACGAGAACCGGAGCAGGAGGCCAGAGTGGCTGTGCTGGCCGTTCAGCTGGGCATGCTGGTAAGCCCCGCTGACCATCCAGGACTATCCACCCCGCTAAACTAGGGACAAGAATGAGAAAATTATCATCTTTTTAAAATTCTGAGATGCAAAAACCTTGGAGGGAAGTCAAACCTATTAGTAAAGCCTATTGCCAGGTTTCCTAGGAGTGGTGAAGAATAGCTCTGACAATTATTTTCCTGAAGTTGAGTTTTTATCCTGGGGAAATGGGCATCTCCTTCGGCATTGCACAACCCCGCGCTGCACGATTCCCGTGTGACACTGATCAGGGCCTTTCCCTGAACTCCAGGGACTCAGTGGTCCCCTGAGCCCTTTTCGTGTTCCACAAAGAGTAGGTGAGAATGAGCGTGGCAGAGTCTGATGCCTGGAGATAAGAGTAGCAGCAGCCATAGCATGTAAGGGTATAGCAAATTAATTCCTCTGTTTTCTTAACTGTTGTACAGAATTTATATGGGAGTTTCACTCCCATATGAAAAATTGCTGAATGAAGGAAACAGCTGAATGAAGGGAACATCTTTTAAGGATGGTTTATGTGTGATACATTAATCAGAAAAACTGTTTTTTGGGGGCATAATTCTTCCAAGCTAAATCATTCTAGCTTTGACTGGATTAAAAAAAGGATGTACCTTAAAGTATTCTAGCTAAAATGTTTCAACAAACATATTTAAGGTCCAATATGGGAAATACAAGTTCCATTTTGACATGTTTGTTTGTAGAGTGTTTCGCCAGAGGGTAAGGGCTCGCTTAAGGCATTTAAGTGGTTTAAGAAAAATTGATGTTTCCTGCGGGGTTGGAGAGCTCTGGCAAGTCACATTTGCTGCTTGTGCTGTCCCAGGGACGCCTGCTCTGCTACAGTTGCCCAGATTTCCATCCCGCCTTCTCCCGCCGTGGGAGCAGTAACTTGCCTGGATCCAGCACAGCCAGAGGACGTGGTTGGGCTGTTCTCCCATAGTCTGGTGCACGGGGTGACTGTCCCTTGGACTTGTATCTGGAGCCCGACCTGGCAGCAAATACATACCAAAATGGACCTTCTCTTTCCCGTGTGTCTTTACTGTAGCCTGAACCCACCCCCTTTGATTACGAATAGAACTGAGATCTAAAATGCGTTTGAGACCAGCATTATCCTGTGGATTGAAAACCACCCGGAGCACTGCTGAGGTAGATGAATAAGAGCATGCACTTCCCTCGGTTCGCCTTTCTTTAATGTCTTCATCAAATGAGCTGTAAGAAAAGCAGAGATTTTTAGTTTGGGAGCCATAAAAGATCCAGGCAAACCATCTGTAAGAGGGGAAAACTGGGAAAGGAGAATTGATGAAATACCGCACAGTTCATAGGAAATCACAAATTACATAAAAAATGGCAAGATGCTATGACAGCAAAAATCTGTTTGGGGTTGCGTTTGAGGAGACACCACATCCTGGGGCTTTGATTTGATAACTTCTGTCTATGTGTTTGTTGCAGCTACAGCTGGAACATTGACTTCCACCCTTAAGTATCTCATTAGCAGAAAAAAACGTTGATGAACTGGAACAAGTTCAGAGAAAATCAGTGCAAATTGTTAAGCACTTGGAAAGATTTCACAGACAAGGAAATCTTTAAGCTAGCTGAATAATTAGAATTTGGCTTAAAAAGGTGTTTAGCAATCTACAGCTGTTTTAAAGAGTATAAATGCTAGAGAGAGAGAGTTTTCTCTCCTGGCAGAGAAAACTATGAGGCTGAAAAGTGTCAATACTCCGTCTTTTGGATATTTAGATCTATTTGGAGAGGTGGAGGGGAACTGTAGGAAAAGCGAATGCAGTTCTGTCGCTTTTTTTCATCTCGTACAGAACCATAGTGCAGGCATCTTCCATCTCTACTGTCTGTGCTTTTTTGAATTTGAAACAATAAGAGACACAAACTATTTTTCTGTCTTGGACAGATAATTTCAATTTACTAAATATAGTGTTCAGCTGGACAGCAGTTGGGTGGAGCAGGAAAATGCTCCTTCCACAGGAGTACCTCTCAAAGCGTAAAAATAATAGTTCCAAATTTGCCTGCCCTTGCGTCAGCATGGGCAAAATCCTCCTGTTCTAATTCTGTCTCAAATGAACAGCATTTATTCCTAGGGATGGATCTCAGTTATCCATGAACAGCATTGCTACCTCTGAGACCTGCTCGGAGGTTGCAGGGGGTCCCCGGCGCATAACGTCTTCTTGCTGACGCCCAGGTGCCCAGGACCTTCTCCTGGACTCACCTCTGGGTAGGCAGCTCAGCTGCAGCCCCACACGAGCATAGCTGCCCTTTCTGAAACGGTTTATTCTCCTGATGACAGTGTTTCATTGTTGATGGCTTGCTCATGTCACCCCCCAGTTGATGCTGTACAGTAAATGCCAGGATCTGAGTGCTTTCCTTATTTTCACATAAACATCCTGTTTCCCAGTAATGTGCTATTCCAGGCGACGTGTATGTAGTTGGTTAAACCCCCTGCCTGAATTATTATTAATTTAATTGCACTACAATGACCCACACTAATAAACTACTCCGAATTGCAGTGTCTGTTGTGAAGGACACTTATGAAATGCCGGTCAGAGCTAATGAGGTGTTTGTACGCTCTCCTTCCAGGAGGATGCGGAGCGACTGTACAAGGCTTGCAAACGCTACGATCTCCTGAACAAGTTCTACCAAGCCTCAAACCAGTGGCAGAAAGCCATCGAAACAGCTGAAGCTCACGATCGGGTTCACCTACGTACCACGTACTACAACTACGCTAAGCACCTGGAGGCAACTGGAGAGCACAGCCTTGCACTCGCCCAGTAAGCACCAGCCTGTGGCACCCAAGGGGTTTGGGAGCCTTGTTCTCCCGTGAAGACTGGAGGCAGGCTAAGGAGGATGTCTGGTGATGACTACTAATAATTAATTAAAGTCTTTTCCTGTTTCTGGTGCTTTCTATCTCATGGAGTGAAAGCATTGTTATGATAAACTTCCCAGCACCCTCCCAGGCTAATGAAGCTTAGCGTCAGAAAGGTTAAGTGTCTTGTCGGGGCCAGTACTTGAACCCCACTAATATCCAATCCTGTACTTGCCTCTGGAAGATCACTGCCCTCTTTTCCTTCCTTTTCCATGACAAAACCACTTGTTTACTTCTCCTGAGAGTCTCAGACACAACTGCTGTGGCAGAATTTAATCTGACGTGGGTGCTTCTGGTGCCTGGTCCTCTCCTGATGGGACTGGTGAGTCCCTAGAGAAGTTAGGGGTGGTGATTTTTAATGTGCTGTATTTGTTGTTTGAAATCTTGGGTTTTGTCTTGTTTTTATACAAGTTTTACCATATGAACCTTCACAATATTATGATGATTGATGATGATGATGATGATGATGATGATAATAATAGGTTGCTTCTGTTCAGAGTCAAAGTAGAGCTTTGATGCGATCAGACAGACCCATTAGGTGATCAAAGTGGGCAGGGAGGTGAGGGACAACTCTAACGGTGGATGGTGGCATAAGCGCAGTGATCTGCCGGTAGTGGCAAAGAGGCTGAAGTTGTAGTGGCTGGCAGAAGGACTACACACGATGAGGAGCCCAGGGCTCTTGCGACCTTTTCAGACTGTTTCACAGGGGTGTCCTTAGTGTTTGGGGAGCTTTCTGGGATATTTCTTTGGACCATTACTGGCACTTTTAAAGAATTTACTCTCCTGTGATCACATTGCCTCCCTAATTCCAGGTGCCTTGCAGGACCATTAAACTTTTTATTTTCGATGGTGCTGGCAGACTGCAACTGGTCTTACAGTGAACTTAATAATACAAATGAAGCAGTGTTACCTGTGTTGTCTCTCTATAGCTGTCAGACAACATTACATGGATTTTTTTACACGGGAAGTGAGCTAATAAGGTAGTCATTTCACATCTAATACGTTCTTCTTCTCTACAGCTATGAGAAGTCAGACACGCATAGGTTTGAGGTACCCCGAATGCTCTGTGAAGACTTACAAGCCCTGGAGAACTACATCAACAAGACGAAAGACAAGTCAGTGCTATGCTTGTTCCTTCTCCCAAATGGGACTTTCAGGTCTGAAATACAACTTGTGAAAAGAGCAGGGAAGGACGAGAATGAGTCCTCTCAGCCGCAAGTTCAACCCCTGGTTATCCGTTATGATACTCCTACGGCTTTTCAGGCTTATGCTACATCTTGCTCAAGACCTGATACCTAGGCTGAACTCCCTTATAGTGCAGACCTTGGAACGTCACCCTTGCGTTGGAATGGTGTCAGTGTTCTGAAAAAATGTATCTAGTCTTGAGTTCAAGATATCCAGGAGCGAAAAATGCAGTCTCTGGCAATTCTTGTTACTGCAATTAATATTGTTGCTTTTCTAGGAGCCTGTGGAAATGGTGGGCACAGTATCTGGAGAGCCAATCAGATATGGAATCGGCGCTAAAATACTATGCACTGGCTCAGGATTATTTTTCTCTAGTCCGTGTCCACTGCTTTCAGGGCAACGTTCAGAAGGTAAGGCAGCCTGCTCTCATCTCCTTCCAGAGAATTCTCATTCCTGGGATGAGTATAGGCACAAAGTAAAGCTACATGATTTCCTTTTCAGGCTGCTGAAATAGCAAATGAAACCGGGAATTGGGCAGCATCATATCACTTGGCCCGCCAGTACGAGAGTCAGGATGAAATCAAGCAGGCTGTACATTTCTACACCAGGGCCCAGGCATTTAACAATGCCATCCGCTTGTGTAAGGTATGCAAAGAGGTACATTTATGTCCAAAAGCAAAGCAGGATTCTACCCTTGGGCAGCATACAGCATGAAAGTGGTAGAAGTTGTTTATGCCTGTTCTCTCGTGTGAAACACTGCTTGCTCGTACGCAGCCCGCTATGAAGATGCTCCTGGTTTCTGCCTGTGTCTTCTACAAGCGATGCATCAATAAAGGCTTGGTTGTATGGGACATTATTTTCTTGTATATCTCAACAGAAAACTGCCTGAAACAAATTATCATTGTTGCAGATCGAAGTTACTTGTGCTGGTATAGGTTTTACAGAGAAGGGGGTTGATGGGCAGTGTAAAGCTACAGGCTTGCCAGGAGACAGAATTATGAAACCTGTTTGCTGCATACCCAGAGCCAAATCTTTGCTTTTGAATAGGAAAACAATTTAGATGATCAGCTGATGAACCTGGCTCTTCTGAGCTCTCCAGAAGACATGGTAGAGGCAGCCTGCTATTATGAGGAAAAGGGGGAGCAAATGGACAGAGCTGTCATGTTATACCACAAGGTAAATGTCTTTTTAGTAAAAAATAACAAACTTTAAACTGAAGTGGTTCCCACAGCAAAGGAACACTGAATCAGCTGTACGTTTTACTATATGTACTGTTTATTAGCCATTTCTTCGTGGTGGGTAATGCTTTATTAATCCACTCGAGGGTATCCTGCAAACTGATTCTGCAATGCTTATTCTAGTTAAAGACTTACTCGTAATTTTGCAGGCAGGACATTTCTCCAAAGCGCTGGAGCTAGCCTTTGCCACACAGCAGTTTGGGGCCCTACAGCTAATTGCTGAAGACCTGGATGAGAAATCAGACCCAGTGCTGCTGGCCCGCTGTTCTGATTTTTTTATAGAACATGCTCAGTATGAGAAGGCAGTGGACTTGCTGCTAGCAGCCAAAAAGGTAAGCTCTAGCTTCTCTGGTCCCTCCAAGCACAGGTAAAGACGAGCACAACGGGTGCATACGTGCGTGCACATACATTTAGCTTTGTGGGTAAACAGCTATGCAGACACATTTCTAAGGTTTGAAGTTTCCTCTCATGCCAGTGACTCATCGGGTGGTAGCCCTCTGGCTCAACTCTAAAAATGGATTCCTGGGGTTTTGTCTTATTTCTGCTTAAAACCTGCAGATTTTGCACTCTTGGGAAGAAAAACTCCTACGGTCTAAACCAATGTATTTGGACACAGTGAAATTATATCATCATCAGTCAAAAAAGCCAATGCTGTCCCTCTTGTCATATTACCAATGTAGTTAAGGCACTTCATTTCATACCTAAACTTTTACATGCTTCTACCTTGCCCTCGTAATTGTGCTGGCAATTCAGCCTTACCAAAATGCTGGATACCAAAGCAGTCCTATGCCCACTCCTCTTCAGTGAGCTTCTATGTCTGTCTGTCTGTCACGTTTTGCAAGGGTACAGCAGCCCTTTTGTGGGCTAAAAGCTATTATATATTCTACTCATTATTTGTTCCTATATGGGAAGCAGCAAAATATTTAACAAAATCTTTCAGATGCCTGTATTTGTTTTATTTGTATTTGCTGAAAACCTTAATACACTCAACCATGCCTAACAAATCTGACTTGTATGTCTCTGAGAATGTCACATTCAGAGATGAAATGGATCAATCTTTACGGCCACACTACCGTCCCCTGAGAAAATGGGTGAGAAACGATGGTCTTCGTGGAAGAACAACTGCATTCTTAGTGGACAAAATGAGACAGTGTGTACTTGAACAGGAGTTTATGTCAGGACACTTAACTACACAACAGTGTTCTAGATGGAGCATCCACAGCTGCTAGCATTTGTGCCTTCATATAGCTAATTGCTGTAGGTTACACCACGAGCAACTATAGGGTTTGCAACACCTCATTGCTTTCTCACTTCCATTAGTACCATGAAGCTTTGCAACTTTGCCTGAAGCAGAACCTGACCATCACGGAGGAGATGGCTGAGAAGATGACGGTCTCTAAGGACTCCAAGGATCTCTCTGAGGAGTCCCGGAGAGAGCTGTTAGAACAACTTGCCGATTGCTGCATGAGACAAGGCAATTACCACATGGCAACCAAGAAATACACACAAGCAGGAAACAAGTTAAAGGTCAGTGGTAGAAAGAAAAAGCTGAAGAGGCTGAGCCTATTACCTTCCTAAGATTTCTCAAAACAAGGGTGTTTTGAGAAGTAAATCTTGGAAATCTTCATACAGTAGCCTATCCAGAAAGGCTCCTAGCCTTTTTACCATAGCTCATGTTTTTGCATTCATAATGGTATTTTTCCCCTTCTGCCCCTGTGTCCCCCTTTCCATTGCTAGGCTATGAGGGCACTGCTGAAATCTGGAGATACTGAGAAAATTGTCTTCTTTGCGGGAGTTTCCAAACAGCGAGAGATTTATATCATGGCAGCCAACTATCTACAGTCACTGGATTGGCGTAAGGACCCGGAGATTATGAAGAACATCATTAGCTTCTATACTAAAGGAAGGGCCCCTGACCTGCTGGCAGGTTTCTATGATGCATGTGCTCAGGTACATCCCCCTTCTGCAACTGCTGAAGGCATTTTGTTGTTAGCTCTGGAGCAAGACGTTCATCTCATTTCTCTTCTTGCAGGTAGAAATTGATGAGTATCAGAACTATGAAAAAGCACAAGGAGCACTGACAGAAGCATATAAGTGCCTTTCAAAAGCAATGACAAGAAGCCCTCTGGAACAGGAAAGCAAACTAGCACATTTGCAAAGCAAGATGGCCCTGATTAAGCGATTCATCCATGCTCGGAGGTGAGCTGCAGTAGTTGGAACATGTAAACTAATGACAGAAATATCATACAAGAAGAAAAGTTGTACCAGTACCTAGAGTTTAATAAATAATTTGCAGACTCACTTCTAAAAGCTGCTGTTACATTTTTCTAGCAGGGAAACCATTATGTGATTTTTAAAAGTGCTGTTGACATAAAAAATTAAAAGGTAACCTGAAATACAAGCAAGTGTATTGACCAAGGAAAGTGTAGCCAGAAAGGCGATTAGGAAACGCAACACAGTAAAAAAATCTTCCCCGTTCTTCACATGACAAGCTGAATGCTCTCCCTCATATGACTAACAGTTTCCTTTTGCTCTCTGTACTAGAGTTTACTCTGAAGATCCCAAAGAAGCAGTCACACAGTGTGAACTTCTCCTAGCTGAACAAGATTTTGACAGCGCCATCCGTCACGGTGATGTCTTAGGATTTCTGGTTGAACATTACGTACAAGTGGAGGAATTCCATACGGTAAGTTAATTCTTAATTCTGCTAATTTACAGAGCCCATATTTTGTATACACCACTGCAGCCTGATATAGCATGGTTATCTCATACAGGAAGACATTCCACAGTAGAGGCTCCTTTACAGGAGCTAAACTGCTCAGCAGGGTGTTGTAGACCTCAGGAACTATGTCCATATTAATATATTTTTAATTTCACAGGACTGAGGAGAAAAAGCAAGCTCACAGCACATAGGGCATAAATAGTGGTGAAATCTTAAATAATCCCAGTTATTAGGTAAGAACAGAAGGGTCTGTCTGGATGCATGTCTCAGCAATTACACTGTACTTCATTTGCCACCTGGCCAAAGAAGAAAAGAAAATTGTACAATTGCAGTCATTAGAGGAAATGGTGAATCACTTCTTCAGGGCAGAAGTGCCACACACACCAGCATTTGGACTAAACTTTATTATGAAGCATAAGGATGCCAAGCGCTAATTTCTCCAGCTGTTCTGATTAACCTTATTTTTAACGTGCCGTTTTGACAGTGCTTCAGCTGTCAGGAGAACATAAAACCAAGCTTTGAGACCCCTTCTTTTTTAAACTGAAAAAGATAGAATTGACACAAGTCGTTATGGAAGGTCATCACGTCAGCAAAGGCTACAACTCCTGGCTAGGTATTAGCACCCCTTAACACTGAGCTCCTGTCAAGAGCTCAGCCTCGCACTAAGGGTGGATGCTTTTCACCATTCTGCTGGGACTCACAAAAGCATTGCACCCCCCATAACTGATCTCTGTGCATTACTTTAGGCTTACCGGTATCTGGAAGAGATGCAGAAAAGAATTCCACCCATGAACCTGAGCTACTACGTGACTCAGCAGACCATCGAGGCTGTTCACCGAGGAGTAGGCATTCCTGTAAGCCGAACCCTGGTTCCAGAGCAAATGTGCCACAGCAGTATGGAGAACAAGGAGGTGGAAGAAGTGGCTGATGAAGTGGAGGACCCCTGACAACTTACCAAATGCCAAGTTGACTTTAATACTGGGACATTTATTCTGTCCTCATTAGGGATCCTAGATCAGTCAACACGCTGCTGCAACAAGGCTTTTTGGTTATTACCAAGAAATTTATTTTTTCCTGCTTGACTGTACAAGCAACAATATCGAAGTGAATATATTAGCTCAAGCACTACATACAAAGATTCACATGTATATCCTGTAATGAAGCTGTTTTTAGTATTTTAATAAATTTGAGGGGGGAAAAACACCCCAACAAGAACCACATATTCAGGCCTATTTCCAAGTACAGAAAAGAGCCAAGTAACTGAGGTGAAAACTCCCAAGTTGACAAAATTTTCAAGTACAACTTTGATCTGCTAAGGTGCTAAACTATTTGTCATTCCCTAGAAGGCAGAACTTCTGAAAACAATCTCTGTCCCATTTGGGTAGGAGTTTGGGTAAAAATCAAACTACTCCCCTACTGCAGAACGAAGGGAGCCTTCACCCAGCCGAAAGCTTTTGTATTTAAATACATCATAAGGTCACGTAGGCTAGAGCTACCACTTACAAAAATCTGGACTAAACCTCAGAATTATGGAATGGTTGGGGTTGGAAGGGACCTCTGGAGGTCATCTGATCGAATCCTCCCTGTGTGGGAGTGAGTGAAGCTTCTTTTCCAAACACCAGAGTTAAGTCAAGCTACTCTGTCCTAGTCAGACTTTAGGATGCAAATTTGTTCCCTGGCACAAACAGGACTGTGAGAACTGAAGCTCAACCTAAGCAACCAAGGTTTTGCTCACCTTTAAGCCTGTTACCCTGCCCCACAAAGATGTATTTATAAAGTCACTCTCACACATTTCATAGCAACTAGCCCTTCTGCTTAGAGTGATTTTTCTTTTTCCTGTTTTGTGACTTGCTTCAAAACTTGGGATGAATATGAAGTCTTTAAATTGTATGCTTTCAGGGGAGAAGGGAGGGGAGATTTTAAGGTCAAAATCTAGACCTTTGCTATCCTTTAATAGAAACTTATTTCTGTACTAACATTATACAAAAAGAATTCCTGCTTTGTTCCTTCCTAACCACGGCACAGCTCTAGCTCAAGTCTTTAAAGTTTGGCACATTTTCAGAACTTCAGTGTAGCTACTCAGTTTGTGCCTCTCAGCAG